GAGTTTATAGATGGTGTGTATATCAAAGAAGGTCATGATACGACTACTACAATAGTATCGATGTTTACTTGGTTAGAGTTACAGAGTGTGTTACTTCTGCTACCGACCTGATCTAAGAAAGAATGCATATCTCTTGGGATAGAGATGGAAACGATTTAATAATGTTTTGTAAATATTTAATAGATAGAAATATGTGGGCTATTTGGGTACAATCTTCTCGGCAGGTATGATGTGTTCTAGTGGTGGATCTAATGAACTTTCACAATATGATGCTAATGGTATATAAAAATGGATACGTCGATTGTTAAGTGCAAATACTAACTACTAAAAGAGTTATCTATTGTATGACATGCTCATATAATAAGATTTGGTGTTGGATTCGTATTTGAGAAATCAACTAGTTTGTTAGTACAGAGGATGGGCTAAGCATTATTTATAAGGAAGTTTTTAGTGATGGATCTTTGGTATGATATTGATGTGTTTAGGTTGTGAAATGTATCTTGAAAATTTTAAATGAGTGTTGATTCACTATAAGCTCCATGGAAGTGAATCAACATTAGAATGACAAGCTTATAGGTAAAGGAAGTCTCAACGAGTATACTTGTGTGAACGTAATTGAGAATTTTAGTAAAAGAAATTGCGTATAAAATTGCATTAATCTTTTGAAATGGATTAGTATAGTTAGTTTTGAGATGTCATGTCGATGACAAAGTTGACTTTGTGGTGATGGCAAGGGCTAACTGAGCATAATGGTAATAAGAGTTCGTGATGGATTGTGATTGAGATGCAACTATATAATAAGGATTGTTGGTTAAATAAATTTGTCTGGTAATGACGACTTGTGAGTATTCAAGGTTGTGGTTTGTGTAGCTTGATTGCATGAAAAGTTATAGGAGGTGCTGAGACAGCGCTTGCATAAAATTGAAAGGAGCTAGAGTCATAAATAGAAAGAATTAGTGTAATGTATTTTAGTCTTCGGAAAGAGGTGAGAATAAGAATATTTTATCTGATTACAAAGGTTAAAGAGGTATCTTCAAAGGGATTGAAAATTGAGGTATAGAGATGTGTGGTTCCATCTGTTTTACTATGGTTATGGTGATAGTGTTACGTGTCATTCATATCAATTAAAAGGTGTTGAATAAGATTTGAGAAAGAAGTCTATAGACGTTTGACCCGAGTGTGATGATAAGTGCTTTATTGTTTTGAGTTTGGTAACTGGCACAATTGAATTTTTAACAAAGGATACAATAAGATCAATGGAGAGGCGATCAATTATAGTCTAAGATACATGAATTCATAAAGATCCTCAATGTATGAGCTAATGGTGATAGATAATGAGATTGTGTTACACAGTTGAAAGCAAAATTCAAGTTTTTCATGGTGAGTTTATGTTCGTGGTAGTATGTTTTGTCAAGGTGTAGATTGATATGGTAAGAAATGATCGATCACATTGAATATTGAGCATTTGGAAGGACTTGCATATGTCTTGAGTCATAAAGTATGTCATTTTGATTTTCAAAGGACCTAAGAAGGAGTTTCATCTAAAGTTTTTATTTTGAGGATAAGGTAAAAATGTTAGGCGTTGTTGGCCAAAGAATAAGATTGGTGAGCGAGTCAACAAAAGGAACAAGAGTTTGGTGTATTGAAGGGTTCAAGATATTTAGAATTGTGTCATGGAAAGAATTTAAGAAAAGTGAAGGAATAAGACTTTTCGTATAAGCCCTTGATTTGTAGTTGAAGGATTTATTGATTTTTTCCTATGAGGTTAGATATGACGGTGAGATGTGAACTAGTTCGGTATAGACTTACTAGGAAGTTATCATATACTTTTCTAAGGATTGAGTTTTAGTTGGGTGACAAGCAATTATGTGTGGAATATTCTATGTGGTTATGTCGAGCTAGATTGTTCAAATTATGATAGGTAACTTATTGATGTTCAACGGTGTGGACCTACGATTTTACATGATTAATGAGGATTTGAGGGGATTGAAACTACTTTGTTGATGAGACGATACAGACTGTTATGATGTATTACATAGGCATTTGATAGTGAGTAGAGGTTATGAGCTTATAGTATACCAAATTATTGGAATGACCAGGAATTTCCTAAGTGTTGTTATGAGGAATATAATGGTTTTGAATATTAGTTGAAATTTGATATCTGAAAAATTACGTGGAGTTGACATTGAGTGATTCAATTGTTGTATCTCGATGATAAAGTACTTTTAGATTTAGAATTACTGTTATCAGTCTTGGGTGTGACCTGTATTTGTCATGAAATGTTTAAATGGAAAGAGAGAGTCATAGTTCAAAAATTTTGGAGGCGACAATGTGTTTCTAAGAAGACTTGGATATGAGTGACAGTTTGAGAGTAAGGTAAATGGTTGGTATGGTTGTGATGATTTGTTAGTATTAAGAGTGTTGACTTTAATGAAGTACTGTGAAGATCATGTGAGGTTCGACAAACCAAGTATGTGTGCAATTATAATTGAGACTAGATTAGTGATTATGGGTGGCTAGAAATCAAAGAGATAAGGTCATATGTATGAAAATATTTGATACGGGCACTGTGGAAGAAGTATTAAGTGTTATTCAACCTTGGTTCTGTATATTCTGATGTGACCATCTACTTCGTTTTGAATATGGTTTGGGGGGGGGATTCACTACCTATACCCACACGTGTTTTCATATCTATGGGTGAATACCTAGTGGTGGATCGGGTGTACCGATCCTGTGATTGTCCTCTTGGTAGGGTGAAATTCTTGGACAGACTTGGTCATTTCAGTTATGATAGATTTTATGTTGTTTGAGATAGTTGAAGTATACCAATGGTTTTACACACACAACTTTGGTTATGAGAACTTACAGAAGAGCTTTCGTGAATAGTTACAGTTATCAGACATTGTTGTTAAAGGTTTTGTGTCTTGGTGTGTACCGCTTGTTGGGTGGTTACTTGATCTTGTTCTTCTTTGGGTTAGATAAGTTTGATTCTCCCTTGATTAGTACTCAATGTCTAAAGATCACATTTTATAACTTAAGTTCATGGAAAGATTGTACTGTGAGAAAGGAATCTTGATATGATGTGTGATTATTTGTGCATTATGAGTGTCTGGAGGTTAATTCAGGCTCACTTCTGATTGCAGTCAGTATTGATTTAGAAGGTTATTTTGGTTATAGGATAAAAGATTCATCATGATGGTTGTGTTAAGGTCCAATGGGGTTGAGTTCAGATTGAGTTCATCAATTGGTTTGTGGCTTGATTATCACTCTTGATTTATAGATCATCCAAAGTTTGATTCAAAAGTTCGATTCTTAGTAGTTGATCTTGATGGAATAGTCTTAAAATGAGCTCACTTGGAGAGATGAACATCGACTGGTAGGTGTAACTCTAGCTTTTGGTAACGTTGGTTATTCTTCCATCTTCTTCCTTATGTTCAAGGACGAACATGGTTTTTAGTGGTGGATAATGTAATGACCCGAAAAATCATTTTTTGGAAATTCTGAACTATTCGTTTAACTTTAGCTAATTAGTCGATGGATACTATATTTCGAGGGACGTGTCGCGCGCCGCGACGGATACTATATTTCGAGGGACGTATCGCGCGCCGCGATGGTTACTATTATCGAGGGTCGTATCGCGCGCCGCGATGGATACATGGACAGATATGTCCCCCATGAGTCCCGGACTGAGAGACAGCGGGTGTGTATCATTAGGTCAGACATGCATCACTATACTTGACATTGCATTTCATTGCATTGCACATTTTTATTATTGATGAACTTGATCTCGTGTATTGCTGATCTTGTGAGTGCCTTTCTATGGAACTTGTGATTGATGAATATGGAGTTTGTTGTTGAAGATATGCAATTGTTAGAGTGTTGTTGTTGAGGATATGAAACTATTGTTGTTGTTGAGGATATGAAA